ATTTCCTGTCTTGGCTCAAAAAATGGGTAAAGAAAAATTTGGCACACTTTTCTGTTCCACAAACAACATGTTTGAAATGAACTGAGAGGGTTGTAAATTTTTCGCAGTAAATAAGTAGGAACCACTAATATAATTTGACCTACCTATTGATCACTGCCTCGAAGCAGAAAAATCAGCATACGTTTGTTTTATGACACTGTCACATCAGTCTAACACAGTCCTAAAAACACGTATTTATTATGTAACTGTTTGCGGTCAAATCAAATGAACAGACGTTAGTGATAGCCATTACACATGTCATAAAAGAAAACCGCTACTTGCATGATACACACAAGTCGGATTATCTTACTAGCAACATCCCTGCACTATCATCCACACGATATACCGATACCCCGTGATTTTTCGAAAATGCCAGCGACATCAATTTCACTTAATTAACAGTAAGGTATCAACAACTGAAGAATAATCGTTCTACTACTTATCACAAGCAGAAAGTTTGTCATTGTATGAAAAGTTTATTGCAGAAGAGTCGAGCCCGGCATACTTAATAAGACGAAGGTAGCACATATTAGTACGCATCGGCTTGCACGTCTTGATTACTAGGAGACAGCAGTGGTTGAGGCAGTGGTACCTATTATACACGTCTTGACACAAGATATGTACAGTACAGCAAAGGATGATGAGTCATGTAAACGTGCGTGCATGGCGCATATATTAGTTTGGGTATCGAGCTCGAGACACACAATGAAACATAGCTTGACAATGAAAGGACGAAACTCTTGTATGTGGTGCATGCGTGCGCATGTAGCCGGCTGAAAGGTCCATTGGAATTTGCGGGCTTTACTGGATTATGCCATGAATTACAAAACGAACTAGAGGTAACGGTATTTTGGAGGGTTAACAATATATTCACTGTTCTAGAGTTTATTTAGAATTATCAATTGTATTTCTTGATTGTCTGGAAGCATTTCGTGGTCATACTTTAGCTCAGTCCAAATCGACTGTAATACAAATTAGTTTTCTATTAAAAAACTTAATTATCACGTAGCAGTTAGCTAAAAGTGCACGTATAGGAATACTTTATTATGGGCGCACCTTTTTTTAAGCACTCGTCAAACGTATAAAGTTTAAGCATAGAATTTCACTAGGATTGATGTATTAGTTTTAAATCGAGAAGGTTGTCACTTGCATGGTGTCTGTTGCTGAAAAATAATTGCCAAGAAAATTTACTACACACTTCACTCGATAAATGTATTAATAAAACGCAAATTATAAAGAGATTTCAATCAGTTTGAAAGACAGTATACTTTCGCCAAGAAGATTCGTAAGTATACTGTGTGCTTATTCTTCCACGCAAAGTCTGGATCAATGATAAAACTTTCTATACGCGGGCCTTATCGTGAAGAATTCATTGCGTAATAAATTCGTGTAATCACTTTAACTAAGCGTAGTTCCCCAAACGTAGAAATTTTTTATTACAAATGATTTGTTAAACAAAAAAATTGAATCAATATCTTTCACGGAAAAACTCTCTTCCGTGTATGGGAAAAGTGTACGAGCCGTAAGAACATGCAACTTCGTTTTCTTTTATAATCTATCCACGTTATATAGCCTTATGCATTTTTAGATGGTATGTTTATTAATAAATTGTAATAAATGTACCATAATAAGCCAAATTGGTAGTTTCTTTATTTTTCCTTCATTAAAGCTACAGCAGAACAGTTATCGAAGTGATGGTCACTTTTTCTTTATTAGTTGTGAATGACAGAATAAAGCTTGAAACAAATTCATAATTATCATTTTTGTAATAAACTTTTGGCTATTATTATCTGTTGGCTATTCATTCAGTAAAAGTTTGTTGCTGTGTATTTGAATGAGAGTTAGATTATAGTTTGTACTAAAACATGTTTAATGTACTCCTAGCTTAAAAATAAAACGGATTACTTTCAGTTACCTTAGTAGAAATAAGGTTAAAGAAACTTTTACCAACCAATATTTTTATACAACATAACAAACGATAAAGAATCGATAAAGAACTAACTTAATCATAAGCAAACAATATGTGTTACTTCTACGCCAGAGATTTTTCATGTCTTCTGTCTTTTTCAAAGTACAAACGAGCTTTCTCGTGATCTTAAAAGAGAACGAGAACACAAGAAGGAGAATACAAGAACTATTCAAATCCAAATAAAAATCTATTAATATCAGTTCTAGATACTGTTTAATGAAAAGTTTTGTGAGTTTATAATGTAGAATATGGCTGAAAAAAATTTTGAAATTATTGTAAATTTCAAAGTTTGCAAACTGAAACGATACATCATCGATGATAATTTAATTATGTCACCTACGCAAAGTTACAAAAAACGTTTTAACGAGGAAATTCACTGGGGAATTTTTCCGTGAGAGAATAGCGATGTATTCGAATAAACTTCTTGAAATCTTAAAGTTCCACCTACTTACTTATCTGCATGTAGAGTAGAGCGCATTCCAGGTGCTTTCTCTCCCTGCATGTATCTCTTTCTCTTACAGAAACCTCTTTTAAAATTTAGAATTCGTGACGACGAAAAAGAGTCCCCAAACCCTTCTAATCTAGAAACACAAAGACTGTCCTGGTTTATGGATAATGGTATCTTTCATTTTCGTCTGGTGCTTGAAAATATATAAATTTGAAATGGTTAAAATTTTACTATTAGCACAAGTAAACAATATTTTCAACATTCCTAAATAATCCAATGTATGCTCGTAATCTAAATGAAGAGAATAATATAACCCATACATATTATTTCAAATGGTACCAACAATAACTTTAACAACTAATTGAAATGGTGAAATGTTAACTTATTTGTAAAAATTGACTATTTCACAGTAAGACTAGCTATGTCACAGTGAATGTGAGCTAGTTCAAATAAGTTACAAGTATACTCTTTGAAATAGTGAAATCATCTGTTTCACTATTTATACAGTATATATTCTCTATTTTGTAGTCGCTATATGCGTTGGGAAAAAGTTGTTCACTTATCATTTTATAAAATTTAGAGAGATAGTTCAAAAGTAAGCTCTTTCACAGCCACAAAGTTTGTTGTGAAACTGGCCAATTTTTATTGCTGATAGATGAGATTTTATGAAAAATCAGATTAAAGCTTGAGTTATGTCTTAGAATAGAATTGATATTGTTTTTGTGAATTTATTATAATAATTTTTTTTAAAATAAAGTATTGCATTGCTTTTGGTGCGAATATAGATTATCATGGATAGTCATGTAATTTATCAGAGAAACAGTGTATTAACTCAGGGTAATAAAAAAAGGAATTCAGAGTTCGATGAAAATGCAAGAGCGCAACTTTCGACGATAAAACATAGATTTCTAAACAAGAGCACTTGTTTCGCTTCACGCTCCAATATCATCAGATCGACAACAACAACAACAATAATAATAACAAAAACTGTAAGAACCATCAAAAATAGAGAAAGAGAATCAATCGCATGGCATTAAAGATTCACACTGCTGTATAACTGTAACTTCGTAAGTACTACTACGCCATTTAAAAACAAAAGCGATCTTCGCGAGCGAGTAGGTATACACGTCCGGCATGCACATCAGCGAGCAGCGTCTCCTCCCTTCTTTTTAACGACCACCTTTGAATTCGTAATTTCCCCTGCTATCCTGCACCCAACGCCCGTAACATGTATCATTATATAGTTTGCACTGCACCTCAACGTAGTATGAGCAAGGCGTGCAACGCATATCTGATGGAAGCAGGCGTCAGGACATAGTTAAATCAGCTCCTCACCAGAAACGCTGTAGCTTCCTGTTCCTGTGTTGTTCCGAAGATAGGAAAAACTCCGTGATACCTCTCTGCAAGTATATATTAGAACGGCTGCTTTTGCGTGAACGCGATGTTTCTGTATGTATACATCAATTGCGTGTGCGCGAGAGGGATTCTCTGATTGTTACACTTGACCTATAAAAAGAGAGCGGCTTTTTTCATGCCCATCTTATTGTTGGAAGCATGTGATTTTTATTTTATTCCAATGGATAGCACGGTTATGCGATCATTGCGGTGTTTATGCTACAATCGTGGAAAAAGATGTTGGTGTTTGATTCGAATTAACTTTTATCGTAATCATCAATGTACAGCTGCTATTTTGTTTCGTAGCGGTTAGTCTACATTTAATAAAACTGTCACACTGTATTTTGTTGATTACTCAAATGAAAATAACTTGTACAATTGTTTTTATTGTAATTTTGAAATAATGAACGTGCTGTTATATTATTCATACATAAAAAACACGAAGGAATCAACAATCTGAGTACCGTTTATTTAAAGATATAAGCAACATCTGAGATGGAATAAGAGACTTGTATAAGCGGCTTCCGTCCGTCAGCAGTAATTTAAATATCACATTTGATAAATGGTGTAACGTTTCGCCATAACAAAAGTACAATTCCAGCCATGCATTTGATACAGGCTGTGCCATTGTTGTCGCGTTTAGGCGTTACAATGTGAATGCGATCAAAGGAGGCATTTCCCGGTGGAGCCTATTAATACCTATCCAGAGCTACTTAGTCGACAGTCATTTGTAATTTGTAATGCATGGTAGCGAGTCATGCACTTTTTCCGTTTCCGCATCGCACCGTACAGGCGTGTGTCGACTTTTTTTCTCTCCATTTCTTACAGGAAGTACATTTGAAAAAAAAAAAAAATGCTTCGGATTATCTTCTAGTATGGCTGTGTTATGTGTTAATCTTTTGTTGAATGTTTGCACTATTGTGGTTTGTTACTTTTAAAAAAAAATGTCAATCACTGATGTAATAAAAATTATCTAAATGCAAAGTTCAGCAAAAGTTGATTAGATAAATGGATGTGTAATCAAGTCAATAAAATCAGCAATGAGGACGATTAATTTTAAATTTGAGGTATCGATTTAGACTCAGTAAACAGACATATTATATACTTATTTTTTATACAACATTGCATTACGTACAGTACCAAATGGACGACCGTTAACACCTGACAAATAGTCACAAAACACTAACTCTCCTCGAAGCGATTACAACAAAACGCGATTGAGGCAACAATTGATAACTGCGCTTATCGATCACCTTTATAATAGTACGTCAAGATTCGACTTGGCAGCGTCGTAATGGCATCGAGTCGCTGAAGCCTTCAAGGCCAGGCACGGGTCTCGTCGCAGCTCGGGTCGTCATCGAGCGTGAGCGGGCAGAATTCTTCAGCCGCGAGCCGCTCCAGGTCGTAAATGTCGACGGCAGGCCTGTACGGCAACTCGGCCACCGCTATCCCGTCCACGGGCCTCCGAGCCCTCTCGTCCTCCCCACTCTCGTCATCAAACTCGGAAAAGTCCCGGTCGTATTCCTTGTAGTTCTCCCACTCCTCATCCTCCTCCTCCTCCTCCTCATCCACGTTGTCACTGGCTATGACTCTTCGCTTTCGGCCAAAGTCTTCGACTTGGATGTACTCGCGACGCTTTAACACCTTTTCGAATTTTGCTCCGATCAGTGGGCCCCGACGAAATTTTCGATTTTTTTGAGCTGGCTCGTTTTTTGCTTGCCACGAAGGTCGAACATGTGAGTGGTCTTCTAACTGTTCCTTTGGATCGAGCAGTGATAGTTCCCCAGCTTTTATCGCCGGTTGTTCTGAAATCTCTGGCTCTGGCTCGAGTGATAGAGCATTGTTTTCCAGGTCTATTTTTGTGGTTTTTCCCATGTTCTCTTTGGCGGTGAATCTGAAATGTAAAATTATTTTGTGTATTTTGTGGAATCGTTAAAGGCTTTTGTGCATTCGTTTGATATAATAAAAGCATGAATGTGTTCGATCTTTTTACAAGTTTCATTCACCACTGCGTCCGCAAAAATTCACACACGACTAAATATTTTTTGCAACAATACCCATGCATTGAGAGTTACTTTTGCAAAAATAATCTCTGCAATGTTTGATATTTCTCACAATAAATCACATGGCCAGGCAAACACAAAATCCCAACAATCGTCGCAGTAACGATTCGACTAATTTTTTTCTCTAACGAGGCGCAAACAAAGCAAAAGAAAAGCAAAAAGCATCATTACTCGATCGCCCCAGGCTCCAGCGGCAGCTCCCGTTTGTCTGGAGGCTCGGCATCACCGTTTTGGAATGCCGACTCATCGGTTCTCAAGACTGGCCTCCCGACCTCCTTTTCCTCCTCCAATCCTGTATCTCCAGCTGCACCCGGTGCTGTTTCAAAGGATTCCGCCGGCGGCATACTTTCGTCTCTCGAGCGATCGAGCGCGGTAACTGCCTCATCGACTGTGCAGGCGTCGCCGAGGCCATCGCACGTCTCCAGGAGCCGCTGCACGGTCACAGACCCCAAGGAGCTCGGCACACTGGGATCGGCAAGCTTGCTGCCCAGTTTATCGATCTCAGTACGCTGCACGTGCTCGCGCATTCGCGGGTTAAGCTTGTATTCCGCGTCGAGGTAGCGCTGGAACTGATCCTTAAATATGCCGTCTATCGCCTTCCAAACGCTTGAGCTGTACCAGCTTACCACTCCCAGAAAAACGACACCACGGAATATCAGAGCAAGCATTTTGGAGCTATTTTCTGAAAATATAAATGCTATTTGCTTGACTAGAATGGCTGGACAGCGGGAATTTGGCTCTTAGGTGTAGCACGTATGTTTTCCCGGAGCTTATTGAAAGATTTAGAAACCTAGAAAGGTCTTTATCAGGAAATATCTCCAACTACGACACAGTTGATCAACTCGTGATTGGAAGCGGACTGAGATGTTTACTCAAGCCAGAGATATGCTCTTGGCCTTGCAATTGTTTATCAAACACTTATAATATAATCACGAAACTATGGATGTATTTATTACAACAGCCTCTCTTTTACGAAAAATATGGTTTGAAAAACATAGACTGCATTTTTTTTTTCTCAAGTACTGTTCAAAGCTAAAGCTCTTTGTCAATCGAGTGGCACAAAACTGCCAGATGCACACGTGCAGGGCAGTTCCCCCGTAGAGCGAGTTACTGGACGACTCACTTGTCCATTCCTATTTCTCTTCCCAAACAATGAAAGCTCAGAACGAGGTCACTCCTCTTAGAAAGAGATGCAATTTTAGATAGGGCAAACAACCGCATTTCCTTCTGCCCTTCTGGTCCTCCCTGTTGCTCTCAGTACTCGTCCTCGCCATAGATAAGCTCGCGTATTAGGCTAAACATCTGGCTAATGTGGGGCCAAGCTACTGTCACTACGACGAGAATCGAGTTACCGATGACGAAGAGCTTCATCGTGTCAACGCCGTCGCTCGAGCGCAGCCACTCGGTGAAACCCTGGTTCTCCGAGTCATCGTCAGGCGTGTTACTCGGCTCTTTATTTTTGTCTCCCTTCGATCTACGGTCGTTCCTGCCGCCACTGGATCTTTTATCCTCCTGACGTTGACGGTGACTTTTGTTGTTGTTGCTCTCTTTCGTATCGATGGTGACGCGTTTCTTCGTTGGACGAGTTTCTCGCCTGAAAATGTGAGATAACGTTAATATTATTTAAACATTGCTGGGATTGATTGAAGCTGTGTAATGTTTTAGTCTATGATAATTGGAGCACCATCTATTAGCTAGACTGCATAGCTTAATTAACGAAGCAAAGGCATTGCGGTAGTGCCAGACTCGTATATTTTTTTATTTCGCTCCTCTTACAACGCTGCTGGATTTGCGAACTTGACCTGATTTTTTAATTTTATTAATAATACAACTTGTGCATTTCTTTGAAACTTAAATATGATTTTTGTCTAGTAGTTTTTATAAATTAAAAAAAAAAAAAATTAATGATGTGAACCATTTTCTGTCCAACGCGGTTTTACGTAATTTTTCCCGAGACTTACGTGTAAAATTACAATTTTTCATATTACAATATTTTTTTAAATTCTTACATTTAAGTGAAATCAGCTAAAAAAATTTTTTGTCGTTAAAAAACTGTAGTGTATTTGATATTACTAAAACAATTTTTCCAAGTTATATTTCTTCTTTCCTAAAAATGAATATTGTCAGAATTGGTGAAATGAAAAAAAACTGCACATTCAAAAGTATAGACAGTTGCAGTCGATCTTATTGAGCAAAAAAGGAACAAGAAATGTGATAAAAAGCTTTCAACAATGAGTTCTCACTCACGTACACACAACTTTTAAATAAATCAATACCCTCTCAAGGGAGTGAGTCAAACGATAGAGAGTGCGACAGAGAGGGAGGGAAAGTTACCAGTAGGGATTGGTGTTGCAGGCGCTTGCCCAAATTGAAATTTTCGCCAGTCAGAATTCGATAAACGGAGGCCACTGTCGCTAGGTGTATACGCTAACGCAGATAAGGATAGGGGGAGTGTAGGCCACCACCACAGGGGGCTCCAGCCTGCGTTTTAACGACGTCAAACGTGACTGTGCCAGATTTGCCCAGCTGCCGAATCCCACCCTAGCAATGTGCGAAATCTGTGGTCAGCTACTTCTGCTGCCCCTGCGAGAAATAGCATAATGGACACCATTACATTAACTTTTTCAATCTTCTGTAATTGTATTAAATAACGTTTTTCTCATTCCGCTTAAAATTTTATCCCGGCATTAATTAAGTTAGAATTTATGAAAAAAATACAACTTTTCTTTTGTACAGCGAATCTGATTTCTACGATATAAATATATTTTTCCGTAGTAAGGATGCGCTGAAATTGAGGCTGAAATTGTAAATTTTACAAGCTAAAGTTACAAATGTATTGTCGATTGCCAAATACAAATACAATTCCCGCTTTACTACCCACTAGAATTATAGACTTCCAACCGACGCCCCACTTTCAACTACTATGGCGTCCCAAATAGCTTTATTATTTTCCATCCCTCTGGCTTTACGCCATTGTTTATAGCCGTTTTCTCCTCCTTCTTGTCGATGGAGCACAATTTACCTATGCACTATATACCTCAAAGCTTAATTCCGCAATATTGGGTGTGTATGTATGCTTCTTAGTCTTGTGCATTTATCATCGAGTTGGGGCGAAACAAACGCACGCGGAGTCTGAAAAGCGGTCGTTCTGGACATGAGCGTGAAGTTTGCCGTTTCCATTATCCTCATTTAATCATGTAGTTGGGGGAGGAGGGCTGGTTGATGGCGTGTATATTGTTTAGGAGCCAAACTTGAACGATCGACAAAAACGAAGTTGTCGACAAAATTTGTGGGAAGGGGTGAGGTAGTTGTTGATCAGGACTTAGGACATCACGTGCATGTCTGTTCTAGCGGATGCAAGAGCTTCGAGGAAGATTTAATGCAGATATGATGTTGGAGACGATTATCAAGGAGTGAATGGTATGTTGTTACTACTAGAATAAGCCTAAGATGGTTGAACTGCACAATAAAAGGACAAGTGAAGACTGATGTTGATATGACTTTTACCCTCTTACTTCGGAAGAATCTCGATTTTTGGAACCTCCGTGGTCTCTGACATGGCAGTTTGCGTAGTATCACCTCTTTCTTTCGAACTCAATAATGCAATGTCAATGGTGCAGACGGCACAAGCAGTTTCAACTTCGTCACTTTCAGCAGCGAGGAATTGGATCGCACCAAATATAACGCAACGTGACGTGCACGCTATTTCCTTAACTAAGAGGATAACCGTCCATTACGTAATGCACCCCGATTTGAAACGCTCGCCAGCGTTCACGTCCACGGCGCGCACATCATCCGTTCCCAGTTAATGTCAGACACTTGTCACAGCAGCCAAATCGATCACCATCGCGTTTATTACCATTACCAAATGCTTCTTATTCGATTTTCGCTCACGATTGCGCTGATGTGTACTTGTCGAGTGCGCAGGGGAATGATGCACGTTTTTACGCGTCAAAAAGTGTAGTGGTTCGTTGACTTAACGGTTGTACAGAAAGTATTTGGAGCTCGATTTACGATTCGGATGTGCGCGTGTTGACTGAGGGAGCTGCTTTGAGCAAAAGCCTCGTTTTTTTATGGGCAACTAGAGGCTGGTAAGGTTTCTTGCTTCCTCAACGGGACGGGGTTTTCCTACGTTGTCTCACTCTGCTTTCCGATAATCTTGTTAGGGATGCCCCACAGCTGCAAATGGTTCTCATTCGCAAGTTTATCTAGTGAAATGTTCAAACAGCTTGAGTTATGTCACATAAATAAATTTTTCGGTCAGTAGGTGAAAATTCGACGCTTACTATCTGACTGTGCAAAATGAATTAGCCTTAATTTTTATGAATCAAAACTTTACTTGAAATTTAATTTATATCGCACTTAATCCTCCACCACAACTATTTTGACATACAATAGCTCTCTATCAAATTATTTTTCTCAGCGATAGGCGCCCTACCCATCCCATCCTCGTAAAATAAAACAAAAAAATCGATAATTATGAGTCCTCTCGACACTCACTAAATTATGCCCCAATGCTTCACAACAGATCTTCAATCGCAGTTTTACGAAGTATACAAAAAGAAGAGAGGAGAAAAGCTGTCTCAGCAGAACTCGCAAATTTATGCACTATCGTTCAGCCAACGTTTAGAGATGTGCTTAACATAAAGTCCACTTTTTAAGATAATAGATTGGCGCGGCTAGTGTCTCCTTCCAGTTACGGTCATTGCACAGCTTGATCATCGTCACCTATATAAGATAAGCATACCATTCGTGCAGCTGTATGGTTTAGCGTCCGATTTTCTTTATTTCTGTATGTAGATATAGCTCAACAAAACAACTGTATAAATGGGACTGATAAGATAATAAATGACATGTATGTGAACGAAAAATCAATGATACATGATTTTCACTCATCGATTTTCATCCATCAAAAAAATAGCACAACACAAATCAAACCACGCAGACACTAGCATCAAATCGATGAATTACATCCCAGTATTCACAGTATGATGTGATCTCAACTGCCTTCAATTTACAGCTTATTTTTTGAAAATTATAATCGAACTGATTAATCAAGCTTGTGACACCGTATCATAAAAGTATCAACTTACGAAAGGGGTGTTTAGAAGTTTATTACGCCTCGGGGAGGATCCCCATCTGGCCAAATTGAATTACAAATGTTAAGCAAATTATAAACTAAAACTTAAAAACTAAGGTTTACAGCAGAATGTTCGCTTAAGATTAAGTACTGATGGTAACACTAAAACTAATTTATTTAAAGCAAAAAATAAAATAAAATAAAATAGCAGGCAGAGGTATGGCTGGGTGAATGCTTTTGATGGCTTAGGAAGGCAGTGGGACTGAAAAGAAAGATGAAAGAAATAATGAAGGAAGTCTTTAACGCGATGGAATGGTTCGAATGGAGAGCAATGTAGTGGCGAGAGAAAGGCTGGTGAGTGCAGATTGTGTGGAAAGCGAGTGTAAGATGAGGATGTTTATGGGATGAGAATGTCGCATGACAGAGTTGGTGCAAAGTAACAGATTGCTTGGTATGACGTTTGGTGCGGTGCAAGTGGGAGTTGAAATGAAGAATGGCGCGTAACAAAGCGGGTGAATAACGCAGTGCTCGAGGTATCTGGTTATGAGGTGTATGTGTGTATTGGAGGGCTGGCTACACCATCGGTTCAGAGAGAGAGAGAGAGAGAGAGAGAGAGAGAGAGAGAGAGAGAGAGAGAGAGACAGACAACTAGCATTAACGGCATCTATAGCCCCCACCGTCAAATTAATTGCTAATCTTTCCCGCAATTAGTGTCAGAGCCAACAAGTTTCGCTTAAAAAGTTACACCGTAAGAACCAGCAAGTTGCTGGTATTATTGGATCTTGTCTCCGTCTTTCTCATATTTATACTCATACTGTGTTAGCTGCAAAAAGAGAACAAATAGTGAGGCTTACAACTCCGTATGGATTTTTCGAAAGGGCGTGCAGTTGTAAATTATTCAATCATATATAAGAGAGGAGCGTGAAACTTTCAACTCCACTGTTTTAAGTTTACTCCACACTAGTAACTTAGCGTGTGGATGCTCAGTTTTTTTCCTTCCTTGCTTGGCTTTTCTTCTTTATTTTACTTTTTCGTAAATAACTATCTGTAGTTGCTTAACTCTCTTTCAGTTAAAAAGGAGGGGCGTTGAAGTTTTTTTATGAGACACGTTACCATCAGCCATTCAGAGTCTCTACAGAACAAAATCGACATACAACGTTATTAATCCCAGTACTAAACAGAGAAAAAGTAAATTGTTACCATCATTCAATGAATGTTAATAGTTGCTACCAATCAGTGCGAATTTCTGAACTATACTCACAAGACACACCATGCCGAGAGAATATATTAAGCGTGTAAATATGCAATCACGCATAACTATGTACCAAGATTTATCTAGCGAGAAAGGAAGTAAGCGAAAGATAGTACGAGTGATACTACTTGTACTGAGTACTGTGTGCATGTAATTGTAAAGAAAAGTTCATTCAAAGAGGTGTTAGGTGCACTTGATGTCATGGGAACTTTTTATACAGAATAGAAGAAAAAAATCCACCGGAATATTTTGTACGAAGGTGCCTATTGTGGTACAAAGTACAGAGACGTGGCTTTCACTTTTATTTTATTACAATGTAAATTACACCTTCTATACAGGCTGAGTGCACTTTATGTCTGGTCTTTGTCGTATAACTTCGAGATGAAGTCTTACTTCATAAAGTCAAAATATTCCAGTTGATTTAGGGGCTTCAAGCGCTCCATAAAAATAAATTAAAACGTCAGAAGTAGTAAAATCACAAAAAAGAGGATTAAAACGAGATACACTTCGTAAGAAGTTAATAAAGTAAAATCTTTGGTGCGTCAGACACAGGCAAACAATAAACTCTGTACAAAGGCAGTGACGTACTTGTATTTTTCAGTAGCAAACAGCCAAAGTGGGCAATATCCCGTAACCTTCTGTTGCAGTTTTACGCCCACGAAGGGAAAACACAAATAAAACTGCTTGCACGATCGCGTACAATGCTCGTATGTACGACAAAAGAAATCTGCCCAATCCCTCGCAGTTTCAACCAGCGCAAAAAATAAATACACAGACTTCCCGGAGGGCGAGTTTCGAACGAACCAACGATTCCAGTTTGCATGGACATAATGCCAAGGGTTTTAGCTCCCCGTTCTGCTGCTGATGCTGTAGTTGGTTAAAGGCAAGCTCGAGATTATTTCGAACCAAAGTTGCGGCAAGGCCTGTGCTTGGCGTGCATATGCAGATATTCCGCGGGAGTGGCTGCTCTCAAAAGATTCTCGCTAACGCGGTATCCAGGATCAATACATTTGGCTTCTGCATTTGCTGTAAAGGCCGGTATTTATGGATGGTGAAACGTATTAATTATAACGTGTGCACTGAATCGATATGCTTTGTTAGTTGTAACTATGTGCTGTGTGGATGCTATTCTCTACATGCACGTCTAGTATATACACTGCTTTCGAAATGTTAAATTTTGACGGCTTTAACGGTGAAATTACGGCATATTATAAATGTAATTATTTTATCCGTCCAGAATACAAAATCATATGACTACCTTTACATATTTGGTTTAATAAATAATCTACTAATAAAAATGTAGACTTAAAAGATATATCTTTCCGATTGATTATAATAGATCTTGTACAAAGTCTATGTTAAAATGATTTGTTTAAGTCATGTTACGCCGACTTTTTAATAGATCATATCATAAGATCATATCATAGAGCGTATCATAATTATAGCCCCCCAGGTAATGTACGACAAACTTTCATAGAAACAGAATTTTATTCATGAACTGTTGACAGGAATCAGATGTATAATATAAAAATAAAAGCTCTGAACGAACGAAAAAAAAGATTTTTGATACATTATCAATTACACCCACAAATAAAAAAATTTAAAAAGATATATTAACAGAGGTTGAACTTGCCATGAACCCCTTAATATTTTCGACAGTCGCAATAGCTTACTCGGTCGATTCTAGAAATAGACAAAACCAATTATTATTACTAATACAAGTATTAGTGATTGACTTATGTATCGTTCAAAGGGTGAAAGTCCTACCAGTAAAATAAATATGTATTGAATTAATCTACATGTACTCGTATGTCAATACACACATTTTTTATTATACTTACAATTAGATACAATAGAACTTTATGTTTGAAGACCTCATTCTCATTCCACGTTTGTGATAAAAAAAAAAACTCAAGAAACATGAATTTTCTATTTATAATCAATTTTACTTAACCAGTTCTGAGCATAAAGTTGAAATTAAAGTTCTTCCTTACTCTCATTGCACATACGCACTTTCAATCTTCGAGTACGGTATCAAACAGAAGTGCATTGTTCGATTGCACTACCAAAATTAAACTTGATGTGTACAGTCAACATTATATAAATACACCAAGACATGGCTCGAACGCTAGTAGATACCACTATTTCCGACTTTACTATCCAATAACTTGTCGGATAACATCTTCCGTAATAGGAGCAATATACCCTTGAGAAAAGGTTGAGACAATATCAAGTACATCCCTCGTCTTCTTTCCTCGGAGACCAACAGAATTGTTCGTATTAGGCTAGCGCGAATGATTGACGCTCAGGGCTATACCCTCTCGATGCTGTCACGAGAGCCATAGAGGCCAAAGGCCCGAGCTAGATTGATTCGTAATGGAATTAAAGCCGCCGATCATCATCAACTCTGCCTCTCCTCCAAACCCGAGCGTGCGTAATTCCACTTGGCATTGTAATACGATTTTGCGACGACGTTGCTTCGATTGTCACTTTTTTCGCGGCTAACTCATTCCTTCCTCAATCGTTATTTACTTTTTCCCCGATGCAGCGGCTATGGCAACCGACAGAGGAAGTTATAAGCAGCCCCAGCTTAGCCGGAGCTTCGATTACTGTGCAGCGGGCGGCTACTCAATTATTCTGCCCTGATGGATGTTCTCGCGCCCGTTAAAGCTAGGAAGCTGATCTTTCCCTCTCAAGCTAATTGACAAGCACCTGCCCTGCAAAGTGGATTTCGTTACTTTTCCTTTTTGCAAAGTGGACAAAGAAGAAAGATAAGTTTTTATTTTAAACCCGAACTGTAAGCTGTGAGGCTCTGATCCTTACGAAGCGATTCACGATCTAATTATAAAATTAACGAGTTCGCATTACTCATACGCGTTTCCAGAGATCAGAGCGCACACAAAATCGAACAGACAAACCAAGTCCACTGTTTGATACATCCACAGGTCAAGTCAATATAAACTCATCGACCGCAGGCAACACAGAGATTACAAGCTGATGCGTACACGTGACCGATCGCATCAAAATACTGATCGCATCAAAATACTACGTGAACTAGCAAGCCAGTAGTACGAGAAAACGAACGTTAGAACTCGTGCGAGCTTATTCGTCGAGAGCGCCGGTTAATTGCATTCCTGCACTTTGGATGGCCTCAGGTACAACCTCTCTCTCAAGTTTTTCCACGATCCACTCCATCTATGCTCGTTCGCTCTCTTGACATATCGATTAGACGGCAAATGCGACTACAACCTCTGCTAATGAAGACCGGAAAGCACGCAGAGAACTAAGAGGGTCGTAGAGCGCGATAGCAGCTGGCCGGCGGCAGATGGACGCTACTATCTGCTTAAATCTTCTCCCATTCCTTTTACTTCTGTGGTGCAGGACTCTGACGTCCTTCGATCTAATAGAGCGAGAAAAGAGGAAAAGAATAGAAGGAACACGGACACTTGGTTCTAAACTTCACAGGATGAACGAGGAAGAGGAGATAAGGCGGCTCTCAGCATTGTATCGATATAACACAGAAAACGCTGCGATCGGAATGTGCACGCTGTGATATACTTAGATAAGATTTTCCAGGGCGGCTACGGTCTCCCCATTATTCCCTTCTCCCGTTTCCTAAAGGATTCAGCTCTCTCTTTCTCTCTTTCTTTCTCTTATGTGTGTGCGTGATGTGCACGTAGCTGAACTCATAAACTCCACAGAATCAATTTCTCGATAAGACCGAATAAAAAGTCCCTTCCCCACTCAGATCGTTTACTCCTTTTCCATTATCTGTATATCGTTATAATTTTAGAGTTACGTATTCCTTGCGTACACTTACATGTACTTACTTTTCTTACGTCTTCAATAAAAAATATTCCAGTTTTGTGAAGTAGGCGTCGACTGGATCGATCCAAAACTTTTTTCTTCACCTGTAATCATCCGTGAACATACGCATTTGAAATTCTGAAGTAACATTTTGATGCACGTGATATTTGCTGTTTTATAAATACAGGTATTTTTATTATCTCCACCGACAACCCATACATGTATACACAATCTAACCACGCATACATATAATTCTTTGATGCGAACCCTGATTCATGTCCGTTCCTGCAACGAAAAGTCTTAATTTATTTAATATTTAAAATACTATCAGTCAGTCCTCGTACTCTGATAAAAACGATTCACTCTCAATAACTCAGACATTTTGACTTTTCTATTAGCGTATATACCTTCAGCCTTTCGTCGATATAAAGCTAAGATTAGAATTTAACCCAGTTCCTTAAAGGAGGAGTGTGACTCTCTAGAGGTTGCTATTGCATAAAAGACACATACCTATAGGTTGGACTACATACATGGCCAAAACTCTTCACTTTCTCTTTCTCTCTCGATATAAATTATTTATACATTTCACATTATGTTCCTTAAGTTGTGGCTACAGTGGTCGCAGCCATTAGAAGGTCCTTCTGTAGTCACGTAGTAATGTTTGTGTGTAGTTCTACAGACACTTCGGACCGGAAAAAAGCCGAGCGAGAATTCGAGTGAATAAAAATAAGTGAAAAAAGCGCAAGAAAAACTGGAAAGTATTTATTTGAACACTCTTGCACTTACTCACGAAAATCGCCCTTGTTTTTGCATGCACTGTAGACGAGGCCAGAAGTAAAAACAGCGACTTATGATTTATGGCGATGACTCGAGCTTTCAATACTCGTCGACAGTTGTATAGTTTGTTATTTATTTTTGGCTCATAACTCTGATGACGAGTCATAAATGTACAGGCTCTCACAGTATTCTGGTATTTTTCTACCAAGATTGGAAAAGGGAAAAAAGTTATTTATTTACAGAGCAACTTTTCGAAGAGTCAGGGTAGCCGTTCTAATATTTGTACTTGGAAAAAAAATTGCAAATAAATATACGTGTGGATCTTTATGGTTTAATTTACCCAATTAGACAACAATTAATGCGGTCATTGTCTCGGGATACAGTGACGTGAGCCACAACGAAGCAGCAAGAAAAGAAGTGCAGTTCCTTTTTATACTACTTTCATACTACAATGGAGCACTGCGTCATAACTCACCATTTTGACCCACGCGCGTCGTCGCACATCAACAAAAAAGAAACGAGCCGAGTGGACCCCTGAGGGCTCTGCGATCTCTCTTCCTCTCGTTTGGCAACGAAAAGGAGGGAAAATTTTTCTAAACTTCCTACTGTAGATGCTTTATAAGAAGGGTCTCGGCTCTGTACGCGTTCGTGAGCTTATGTGTCTGTATATGTGTTTGTCGGGTCGGGGAAAGACAGGCTGAAACTCTCGAGTTTCACGGAAAAGCTAACTTTACACACTAGACAAGAAAATATATAGTTACTCTCTCTAACACGTGCGACAAGGGTTTTGTCCTCTTTTCTTTTCTTTTGCTCGCAGAAAAACCGGTGAGACATTGCGGTAGCTCACATCTTGTCCAGCACTCGGTATCCTTCTTTCCTTCCATACATCCTACTCTTATCCCATTCTTTTTATTTTGCAAGACCTCGATGCCGAGAACTTTACCGAGGTCATCGGTGGGCTGATTTTCCTAACGGAGATCACTTATCCTTTCAAATAGGCAGGGCCAATAATCTATAGGAATTCTACAGCATCGATCTCCGTTTGCTCGAGCTGGACTGAGTGCTGCCTTTTTTTCGATTCAACTCCTTCTCTCTGCAGGCTCGTTTATAAACTATTTCCGCTATTTCACTTGGCTGTTTGCTCGGGCAGAACCACGTTTGTGGAAATTTTACGCAAATTCGAGGTGATCAAAAACTCGGGGAAAATTCTTCTTTTTTTTATGGATGCTCGAGCAGGCTTCTGCGTTGCAAATTGAAGTGGTAAAGTGTAAATTCGATAGTTGCATTTGAAATTTATTCGATTCAGTTTATGTCTGCGATGACGAGCTAAGGTCTATTTTACTTTTGTTCTTCGCATAAAGTTGTATTATTTTAATGAATCATACAAGCGTATTTATCTGCATTAAAATGCGCATTAATGATACAACTATTAAGTTCAACTGAATGAGGTGGGAACCGTCAGATTCCAGTGCTGCTTTTCAGTCAAAATTTTTTCACCCCATAATATTTGCATGATTTAAAATTTAAGAAATAACCTCGTAATCAGAAGTGTGCATATTGATTATGGGATACGTCAGATTTCCTCACTTCATGTGGCTACAGTCGATTAATAACTCGAGCGAATTCTTTGAAATTTTTTAATGTTCATTACATAATATATGCTCTGGTATCATTCAAGGGACCACAGAAAAATTTGCAAGTGAGCGATCACATTAAAGTGACTTTTTTCTATAAGTACGAAAAATACGTATCATATAGAGCATGGAATTGTAATTTTACGGTAGCGAGTACATAGGTATTTTTTGTTTTTAATAAAGTCAAGCTATTATCATCTAAAATGAGGTGAATAGATGAAAAAATAAAAAAAAAATAAAAAAATGAAAACCAACGCATATCAATGAATAATGTTTATTCGTACATGCTATTATACTCCTCACACCTGAACGTACTAAAAGTTGTTCGCATGAAAATAATTTACCGCCAGTCGTCGAGCAATTCAATTGAGCGAGATTTTTGTGCTTGTGAATGGTGTTCTAACGGCGTATTCAACAAACTTGAGCATTAATGAGCAGCCACGAGGAGCCACAGCTGAGACTTGGTGTTGGGCGGAACTCTCAGGTTGAAACTGGTCCTCGATGTTCCCAGACTGTATGGCTCGTCACAGACCACGACGTAGCTGTTCTTTTCATTAGTGACACTTAGATAGTGAATTGTTCCTGTTCAATTGAAGAAGGAAGACTTAATTAACTTTTTTCTGTTTGAAAACTTTTATTAAAAAGTAATTTTTTGATCTCACTGAAACCATTCCCCCTTTTTAAAATCTTTATTAAATTTTCAATGCAAAAACTTTAAATATTCGCTTCTTCTCTGAAATTTTAAAATTTCTCAAAAAGCAAAGAAATGCACGTTTTAGATGAGAATTTTTTTACTTGACTATACAATATCACCGAGCAAGGTACCAATCTAATGGAATTAATTAAATAACAGTCGTCAAATCAACAACTACTACTACGCAATGTTAATATACGAATACTATTGTTATATATTTAGCTGCGGATCAAAATCATCACTTCCGCTCGCATGCAAAATAATTCCCGACCGTGCCAATAAATTTTAGCTCAATTTCAACCACATTGTCAATTTGACGACTGTCGGCTGTCTAAAATATAACATGACAGCTTACAAAATTCCTAGCTTAATTATGAAACACTTGTACACGCATGTGTGCTCGGAAACAATATTAGCATGACACAAAACGTGGATTCGAGCGCAATAATAACCCAAAACCGCGAGAGATACGGTATTCCATATCCTATACCCTCTTTCTCTTTAGCGATTCTAATTACAATCGCTCCACAGCTCAAAGGCTTAATTACGCTGAGGTGTGTGGTATAATAATGAGCGGTCGCTCCGTACACGTTGCGTTATCATTCTCATCCAGTTTACGTATTTTAAACTTATCTCATACATAAAGCATCTATTGGACTAGACGACAATTAGAAGGACAATTAGAGAGACAATAACTGAGGATGAGAGACAAGCAATTTTACAAAACTCACCTCTCTCCACGTTGATCGTAACTGCTGAACTGTAGACCTGATCGGTGGGATTTGCAGCCTCGATTGAACGACGAAATATTGTCTCATCTGCATGACGCTCTCCAATTACCAGGTCCCCGATGAATCTGTACTCTTTTTTGGCTTCTTTGAGTAAGGGTCCCTTTAAAGATATTTTTTAAATTTTTCTCTATTTTTCTATATTAAGATAATGCATCTTTACGGCATGAATATGTTAAAAATTTAACTGGTATGATGGGTACCAAATCGTAGTATTTATCACTGTTGCACATATCTTTAAGGCGATCACTGGTGATCGCCTCAGCTTCATGCGCGCACCAGTGAAGGATACTATTTTTTCTACCTAGGGTAAACGCAATGAACGATCCAATGTTAAAAATAAAACAAACGCCTGAAGTAGAAAATTTATATTAACCATCTGCTTGAACTGAAAATAAATGGAATTTTTCCCCTTCAATACAATTTTTTCCCAACAACAAGCTTACTGCAAAAACTAATTGAAAGTAAGAACTGTTATTTTATTTGCTTGAACACGTATTACCGCTCTCTGCATAAATCCTTTGAGATTCTCGTACGAATATGATTACATTTGCTGAAGTACAATACTATATATGAGATGTGTAAAACAGCAATATCCTGTATAACAAAAATAACTGTGTACGTAGAAGAAAAAAATACTTACCAACTCATCCTTAGGTACAATATCCTTATCAGTGAGATATATTGTCTCTCTGTTATTTTTGGTGACGCCAGAAGCTGCTGCATACGTTGCAAGGGTAACTGAGCAAACTAAAAGTATCGTCACGCGACCAACCATGGCTTGAAATTTGAAAAAGGCCCGTGTGTTTGGAGACGTAGAAATCCGCAATAATCTGACGATGACTTGCTTGGTACCTGACGTTTTATAGGAGCGCTTATCTACTTGCGCTGCGGATTGCCCCCATCGTGGTGGGTACGCGCCACGAATACTTATGCGAGCGATTCACAAAAAGCGGAAAAAATGAGACACGCCGAGTGTATAAGTTTCCGATTATCGGACCCAGGAAGCCGAATGTGAGGGCGTTGAGATATCTCTCGTGATTACACACGTTTTTACTGTGGAAGGATTTTAGATTGTACAAACTTCGTGACACTTTGATTTATTTTTTACTATTTTTTTTTTTATGTTTTTAGGACTGACGTTGTGTCTGCGCAATCGTATTTGCGCAATAGTAGAAAGTTTTTTGGGAAACTACTTACTCATCGAAATTCAAGGCATCAACTTTTTTGGGTGAAGGTTGATGTTTCAAGAAATGAATGGTGTTTGAATTTTACTACGGCTGTGATTTCGATTAACGCACTATTGCTCTTGCAGTTGTTATTTCATCTCTTTGAATGACTCATTGTATCAAGCTCTTCTCCAACTTATGCATTAATTTTTATTTAGTTAACGTGTTCGCCATTACAAAATTCGAGCTTTGTCTGCTAATTGTTTGGGTTTTAAAAAAGTTGGCTTTATTTTAGTAAAGTAAACCTGTTTTCGGACAAAAATGTGTCTAAAAATGTCATTCGATACATATGTAGTTGTGTGCAGTCTGTTTTTATAAATAATTCATTTACTTAGGCCAACGTTGTAAATAAACGTATTGTTTTACGTTAGCCAATATTATTTTTTTATTGTTTTAAGTATGTAGCAGATATAATATTTGAATATCTATCTTATTCCATCACTATCAAGCAGAATCTGGTGCAGACAATGCACTTCTAAAAAAGGCTACGACACATCTTATTACTTTCGCGATTTCTCAACTGAAGAGCTCATGTGATGCTGAAATTATATTGTAGAGTGTAGGATGATTAAACGATTTTATAGCTATAAGTAAATCACTTTTTACGAACAGCTTTTTATTTTTCTTTAAACCCCGTCGTGACGCTAAAGCACTGTAGATGCAAAGTACGTCAACTGTGCATCAAATTAAATTACAAGATCAGCCTACCTCTTTGGTAAATTCTCTTTAATCAAGTCCCGATAGCAGGGCTAGCATATCAGGTACACGAGCATCATAGAGGTAAGATTGTGCTTCCTGATAGATCTTGAAGCATCGAGGACTCCTGACCAATGTAGGAAATAAATAAGATCTAAACTTCTCCCTCTATAAGACGGAAAAATAAAAACGAAAATTTTCAACATCGTCTTCTAAAAATTTTTCCGAATTACACACACGCGCTGAATGCTCGTCACTCATTTTTCCAGCACTTTTCATGGCCCCTTTGCCTCAAATTCTCTCGTCCCAGCGTGAAGCCTCTAAGGAAAAAAAATGCAGCCCGAAGGCAATCATCTCGGGGGACACGGCTGGCTTTTCGTGCCGAGGATGTGCTGTAAGCAGAGTTACGCCTGCACTGTCTGCGACGAACAAACTCATCAGCCCTCAGGGTCTAGCTCCACGAAGTCCTTTTTTCCTGGCTCATTCACCCTCTTAAAGTAGCCTGGCGTGCCCTCAGTGCTTTTCTCGCGCTCGCTCGGCCAACTTGGCTCGCTGAACTATGTCGTTTGCACGTGTATATGTGTGTGAGTGCGAGTGTGATCTCAAGAGAATGGAAGAATAGTGACAAGTATAGGCACCGCTGCTACTGTTGCGCATACACGATCTTTTACTGCTCTGGGCTTTGTCTCTTTCTTGCTAGCATCTTGTGTTTTTTTTTTTTTTTTCTTTTTTTCTTTGTTCATTTTGCAGAGCTTAGAGCTGACCTCTTTTGCTGGCCCTAGAATACTATTTGAAGATGATTCAAGTAGGTACGAGAGAAAAAGTTTACCTAGAATGAAGATTGGAGGTTTAGTTGTGTGGGGGGTTCTTGATTAGATTATTTAATAATACAGTTAAAAAAAAAGTAAATGAATTGAAAGTAAATACGATATTAAAAAGCCATCAGAAAGAAATTTCAAATAAGAGAAATTAGGCCTAAAAGTATTGCAGCCTGTAATACAATCAAGTGTGCAAACGTATCTCAATGAAAAATGCCTTGTGCTGACAATTTGATGTACGACAATTTACTGTACAGCAAGTTAAAATTGAGTTATTCTGAACACGTATAATTTAATCAGCACTGTAATTGAGTTGCTCCACTCGTGATTGATAAAGCAAAAACACGACGCCGCGCGTTGACAGAATTCAGGATTTATAATAAGGGTATACCGAATGTGGGTACATGTGTGTGCACATATACATGAGCCCGTACATTATTGTCAACCTTATTTATGTTCTACAGTAAAGAAAAATTTTTTTTTAGAGTTTGATACTTTAGGCTATTTATATACATTTTCTGTAACAATTTTCTTATTTTTTTTTTTTTTTTTGAGGTACGATGTTTGTTTGAAATTTATTAATTTTAATTATTGTAGGCTGAATGACTTTCCATACATTTTTGCAACCCATACCACCTGCACAGCAATACGGGTTTCAAATAAAAAATTTTCAAATAATCTACATAAAAAAAAATAGTAGTTTTCCTACGAGTTTGAAAAGTCTTTGTTTGCGAACCGAGAGGTTTGCGGCCCGAGCCGAAGGCGAGGTCCGTAACGAGGTTCGTAAAGGAGACTTTTCGAACGAGTTCCGGGAAACTGCTTTTTTGCCCGAGGAAGTACCAGCCTCCCAAAACCACCCGAGGGCGGAAAAATTTATTTTTCATTCAGACTTAACTACTTTAGTACACATAACGGACTTTTAAACACGTAACACAGAAACATGATAATTAAAACATTTAGGTGTTCTGTTTGAATTTACATCTTATTTGAGCACGTTTTATTAATGAAACGCAAGTGTAATACTTTATTATATCTCAACTTAAGATAAGAGGATTTGTAAATCTAAAATTTTTAAAGAAGTTGTCAATTTTACTAGTTTGCCTTGCATATCGTGCGTTATAGTATGATTAATTATTAATTATACTTTAATTTATGTCAATAACGATAAAAGAAGATTTTTGATTTACTAGCTGATGGTTTAATAAGCTAAGATTTAAAATTCCAGTTATAACGTCATTTTTTTAATACCAAGAAATTTAGCTAAAAATGTATGAAATGTGTAAAAAATTCATGTCTATTATATAAAATCCATCATTGGATTCAAAAGTTAAAAAAGTAGACCCCTTTGAGTGCCAATCGAGTGAAAAATCCTTTATCCCTCTCGTCCCCTTCAAACATGCTCCCACTCCTATCGAATATATCAATTTTCAATAAATTTTCCAAAAAATGAAAACATCGACAAAAAAAGGAAGGCGGGGAAAAAAAGAAATACACGGAAAGTAAACTGAAAATCCCTTTAGACACAATTTCGAAGCACGCAGCCTTTTCCAGCTTCTCAAAGCACCTACCTACCTCCCACACGTATGAACAAGCGCGTGTCTATTAAACTACTTCAAACACACAAAAGGATCGTCAGTCGAAAATAAAAAAAAAATATGAGGGTGTCTGTAGAGCCGCGTGCGAACGTTATCAGCTGTATCTGCACTTCAGTACATGTATTCGTACAACCCTCCAACGTACAACGCACCATCATTTCCTCTGTTGTAAGGGGGTTGAAAACGCAACAGTTGCGTGAGCATTCTGGGGATAAAATAAAGGAAAGGGAACGAGGGAGAAAGCACGAGCAAGAGGGATGAAGAAGATGTGCGCACGCTCTGCAGAAACGGCTGGTTGTGAGGTGCGGAGGCTGAAGCTTTCGCGCGCGACTGCCAGTGCCATGCCTGCGCCGCGAGCTACCGGTGCTGCCGTTGCATCTGCAGCTGTTTCCTTTTATCGACGCCGGGTCTGTTGTTTCTCCTCCCTTTGGTGTCGCGGCGAGTCAAGAGCAGGTGTATGCCGTAATACTTTTAATACACGTGCGTAGGTATCCGTACGTTGTTGGTCGGTTGTTTGGTTGTGTGCCGTTGCAATGTTTCCGGGCGAGTGAGAACGTGGACGAGGAAGTCAAGAGCGAAGCAGGCACGTGCAGTGGAGAGTCGCAAGGGGAAACGATACTTCTAATAGCACGGAGCGTACGGTGCTGCTGCTCATTGACTTTCCGATTGAGGTCGTTTGGCCGCTCTCTTCCTCTTTCTCTCTCTAGCGCGGGCACGTTGCTCCTTTTTTTTTGTTAACGCTAGCTACTGTAATTGATTGATGTATCTCAGACCAAAGCACATACAGTAGTGCATTCACCCGCTCTTTGATTTAAATTTTTGTTTTTTCGTTTCACTATGTACGACTATAGCAATTTTCATTTTGTTTTGATTAATTTTTAAGAATCGATTAAATTCGTCTCTAAAGTCTTAGGAGAAAACTTTTTGGAATGAAGATTCTAAAATGTATTTTAATTAAAATCGCGTTATATTTGCAAGTGTATGTATAAGTAATTTATGCCGATTCAAACTATCAAAGCAAAAGCGTCCATACAAAAAGCATTGGAATTTCTTAGTGAATTTTATTTTACTGTACGGACTGAGGATATTCATTTTCTTCTTTGTTATATCATGTGGCTCAAGTCATTCTTTGAAAACGAGAGCACCAGGTGTACAAATAATTAATTTGAAAAACGACCGATCAATTTTTTCCCTTCATTATCTCTCAAAATCGCTGTACAGAGCACAATAAGCCCTCATAAACTTAAGCTTGCGACAATAAATAAAAGTTTTAACGTCGAATTTTCGAACAAGAAAAATTCATAATTAACTTCCAAAGAAAAGAAAAAGTTTTTGTTAGACATACAAAAAATAATTAAACTTGAACATGCAAAAACATTTCGCGTTTTATTATAGTTAGTATAGTTTATCATTTATCCCGCATCTAATAATTTTCCTTCTCTTGTTTTATATCAGTAGTCAAGCTTAACGTAATCGGGGCAA